TTGTTACAAACTGCCATTTATTTATGGAAATCTATGCTTAATTATAATTAGTGCCAAAGTATCTCAACACAAGCAGATATAAACTAGAGACATTTAAAAGCCTGGGGAAACTAATTTCAAGTAGTTTTTTTTCCCATTAACTCAACTAACAATTTAATTCTGATCCATGTCCGGAAAAGGCTCATACTCTAGAAGGAAGGCTAGGATACATACAAATTGTGGTAGGCAGAATTCTAAAATGGTCCCAAAGATTTCTGCCACCTGGGATACATGCTCTGCATAATCCCTACCTGTGAGTGTGAATGGGACCTGTAAATATGATGAAATATCACTTCCATAATTATGTTACGTTACAAAGTGAAAGGGAATTATGGGTGTAATGAAATTCTCTGATCAGTTGATTTTGAGTTAATCAAATGAATGATTATCTTTGGTGGGTCTGACCTAGTCAGGTGAGCCCTTAAAAGAGAAAATGAATAGCTTTCCTGTGGGCCAGGAAACATGCAAATGCTACGTTGTAATCTCACTATGGAGGAAGTCTTGTGACTAGGATCTGAGGGCAGATCCAAAGAGCTAAGAAAGCTCCAATGAGAAAGTGGGGACCTCAGTCCTATGACAGTAAGTAATTTAATTCTGTTGCCAAACAGTGTGAGCTTGGAGGAGGATACTGAGGACCAGAGGACAATGTGGCCCAACTGACACCTTGATCTTAGATTTGAGAAACACTGAGTACTTTGTTACTTCATGCTCATATCTGTAAGATAACAAATGAGTATTGTTTTAATCCACTAAGTTTGTGGTAACACGTTGTACAGCTATTGGAAATTAATACACATATTTCTTACAATATGTTATTTAATTGCTATGATGAACTGTTATAAATGAATTTAATCATGTTGAGATTCTATAAATTTTAATTTTAAGACTTGAATTAGTTCCAATATAAAAACTCATATCAGACAAAAATCCTTTTGGACTTGAAAGTACCAATGTCATTTACTTTCATTTTCTTGACCTTGAGTCAGTTAACTTCTGACCTAACTCAATGAAGCATAGGTTGGCATTCCCTAGTCTATTTTCAAAGACTTCTACAAAAGATGATTTCACCCAATTATCAGTGTTTTATTAGGTGGTCACCCCTTCTTTACTCTTCTCTATCCTAGCATGCATATCATGCTGACTTAACATCATTTTCTGGATAGCGCACTAGATTAAATATTCCAAGAATCTTTGGAGGAGAGCCAAAGTATTCTTTTTGCTCTTTAGAAGGAAAATGGTTTAAAGGAAGTTGCTGCTTAGCAAAGCCATTACTCTATTGCAGAGCAGGCATGTTTCCAAAGTACATTAACAATGCTAATGAGAAAACTAGCCCTGGAATGAAAAAAAAGGGGAAATGAAGAAGTCATTTCATCATCAGATGTATTCTGGTGAGGTAGAGAAAGCCTAGAGTATGACTCAAGAGATGTGGCCTCTATTGACTGAAAGTCCTTGTAGAGCTCTCTATGTCTCAGTTTTTTTTTCTCTTCTCTCTCTTTTTTTTTTCTTTTTTTTTTTTTTTTTTTTGAGACAGGGTCTCGCTCTGTCACCCAGGCTGGAGTGCAGTGGCATAAGCGTGGCTCACTGCAGCCTTTACCTCCCATACTCAAGTGATCCCCCTGCCTCAGCCTCCCAAGTAACTGGAACAACAAGTACATACCACCACACCCAGCTAATTTTTTTTTTTTTTATTTTTTGTAGAAACAGAATCTTGACAATTTGGCCAGGGTGCTCTTGAACTCCTGAGCTCAAATGATCTGCCAGCCTAGCCTCCCAAAGTGTTACAATTATAGGTGTGAACCACTGCGCCTGGCTTCAACTTTTAAAATCAATAATGTGGGAGCATGAACTACATAATCTCTGGGTTCCCTTCCAACTTTAAGATCAATAATTCACCTATCCAATGATAAAATGGGGAGGATAAATGTGGGATCTTAGTGGAAAGCATAGAATACTTAAAGTCTGTGTAAGGATATGAGAGAGGAAATATTTTTCCCTGAAGATCAGTCTCCATGTGAAGGCGAACACTCAGTTGTCTTCCGCACATCAGCACTCTATGGCTTTCCATTGTTGAAATTTATAATCTCAAATGCAGCACCCTCCCTGCCCACCTCCTCTGGCCTTTTCCATTCCTCCATTCATCATTTTCTTATATATTCTCTATCTCCTTCCCAGCTGAATTCTTCACTCTTTTAAAAATACATCCTATCCTTTCCCATCTGTGCTTGGCTTTTGTGGTACTCACAGCTGGATTGTTCTACCTTCCATTTTCACCTGACAAATCCTGTTCAGGCTTTAAGCTCTAACTCAAAAACTACCTTCTCTATAAAGCTTTCCTTCCTGGTACTTCTCTCCTAGAAGTGACTGAGCTGTTCTTCTTTGGAACTTCCTTGCTATGCATCCTCCTTTAAGCATAAGTCTTTATCTACCTTATATGTTATTTGTGCATATCTCATTCCTCATACTGCGAACAGAGATGTTATAGGAAACTGAACTGAGTAGTTCCTGAGTTTAGACTATAACCTGAAGGACATGTTATATTAGCTTGCTTACCTAACATCTTGTCTTCTTGTAATTCTTTTTCCTGTTACTAGAGTGCAGCAAAGTAAAAAGGTAGTTTCCTGATAGCGTATATTCTCAGGAGTCCTTCCTGCAGAATATTCATGGTGATAAGATTCAGGAGAGCAAGTGCTATGAAATTAGCTATGCTCTTTCGTAGGAGTCTTGCATGAGCTTGATGGTTGGCCAAAGCAACAAAGGCTGAGGGAGACAAATTGATTTGGTGGGAGTCACATGTCTAATTAGGGGCTCCAGCACAGTAGGTTTTGTTCCCTCTCCTCTCTAATACACACTGCTTCAGGGCCCACCCCTCAAAATTGCTTAAGGCTGCTATGATCCCTGAGGCAAAAGTATCTTCTGAATGAAGAAAACACTGATTTGATTTGCTTCTTCACAAGTTTTACTCCCAGATGGTGCCTCCAGACTCACAGAATCTCAATAACATTTTATTTCCTTTCAGGCCACGGCTGATTTGCAGTGCTTTTCCATTTATAATTTTCAAGCTGAATACCTTTATGACTTTTCTGTTTCCTTTTTCTTTCAACTTGGAGCTGGAATTAAACTTAAGAATTTAGAAAAAATAGTTGTAAGCCGTTAAGGGGAGATTGTAAAGACGTACGAACAAAAGGTCTGAAGAAGGAAAGAACAAAGAAGAAAATTGGAGGCGTTGGAAGAAAAGTGGGGAATCTGGCCAACATTACTCAGTACTACATGAGCCAGAGCTGAGCTAACTACTTGTCTATGATGCCTCATTTCATCTTATGACAGACCAGAAAAATTAAATCATATGTCCAAGATCCCATAATAAACAAATTATGGAAAAGGGCTTTGGATGGAAGACTGTTTAACCTCAGGACCTATACTCTTTTAACCACAACTTGCTGGGGGGATGCTGAATAACACGAAGGCTGAATGCAGATCAAGTAAGAGACTGATTGGAAGGCAGAGGGAGATGAACAGGTTTATCTTCTTATTCTCTCAGTTAGAACAGAGTGCCTGAGCTGGAGAGCACATTGAAGCATCCCTTAACTTCCAGCTTGTGTGCTGAAAACCTAGAGAAAAACAACCCGTGAGGCTTCCAGGAATTTAATTCAGATGACATGCTTCTTTCTTTCCATTTTCTTTGGTTTTCATGAGCCTCTAAGCAGTTGTACTGGTCCCAAAGTTCTGTTTCAAGTACCTTCCTCTTCCCCTCTTGCTTCCCTCCCCACCAAGGATGACACTTTTACTTCTGAAAACCTTAAGCGGCAATCTACTCCAATTGGGTCATTGAGGTCAGAGTTCCTAGACTAAAAGATAATGAAGAGAGATGTCTCAGCAGAAAATAAGGACTGGAGTCAACCCTGAGCCTCATTTACTTGGGTGATAATGTCAGGTTCCTGATGTCCTCATAATACACACACCACACTCATCCCAGCATTATTTAGCTGCCAGAAGTTTAAACTATGAGATTATTATTATTATTTTCCACTTTCTGGGATCAGAAGAATAAGAGGTAAAAAAAGACAATGGTAGTTTTATTTGTTCATTTATTTATTCACTCAACATCTCTGCTATGTTGTGGGGGAAATACAGATGCAGAATGTCCACAGTTTCCACTTTTGAGGAGATTATAGTGCTGGAGACACTGACCCAAGATTTGAGAGTAATAAGGTAGATTTAAGGCAGTGGAATGATTATGGACAAGTACCTAAATAAAGTGCAGAAAATAGGTATTAAAAATTATCACGAAGAAAAGAGGGTAGAATGGGTTAAATGAGAGGCAAAATTAGGTGGTTGAAGGAGCACAGAGAGGCGCTTACTTGGACACCAGAATGGGGCTGTCGGGTGGGTGTCCCTGGAGCCTCGGTGACATTTGCCTGAGAGCTGACTTCAACGAATGAAACAGAGGGGAATAATTAAGAGGTGGTGTCCAGAGACAAAACCAAAGGCAGAGGAAGTCAGGCTGTCTACCCAGTGATTGGAGAGGGATGCATGGAAGGGAGTCACCATGGCGACTGGACCAAGGGCTGATGGTCCTTCTCAGAGGCAGCCTAGTGAGGTGTTCAAGCAGGTTCTGAAGCCAGGTTTACTGGCTTTCAATCCGGACTTCATGGCTTACTCTCTGAGAGACCCAGAGACAGTTACTTCAACTTTTTGTTTTACAATTTCTTCATGTTTAAAATACCATTGATTATTATGGTACCTACCTACGATACCATACCATCCTAGGAGTAGATTGTACAATTGAGTTAGTGTGGGTAAAGTGCTATGAATAGTTCCTGGCACATTGTAAGTGGTTAAAAACTGCTATTTATTATTAGTTATTAGTAGTTAAGGACACTTCTCTAAATTCAATTTGGGCTACTAGTTAAATTTTGAGAATGACTTTCAATTCTGATCCTTACCAATCTCTTTGTCAACAGGCACTGCCATTCCTTAGCCCATTCCAGACAGAGCAGAAAAGAGAAAAGAAGAAATAAAGCAAAAGAAACAAGAGGGAGTAAAAGAAGCTCCCATGGTTTTTCTCTGAGAATTTCACTGGGGATCTAATTTTAAAGACGTGAAGATTGAAGAAAGAATACATAATTTCAACCATTTTGTTAAATGAAATTTGTTGGCTCTATAAAAACGCTTCTGTTTTGGTGATGTCCTCCAGTTTTCCCTGGTTTTCCTCATGAAGAATAATAATTCTGTTCTGTCCTCTCCATCCCAGACTCTAAATATTCTTTTTTGTTTTCTTTTCCATGAAAGCAAAACTCCTAGGCTACATCCCGTGCAACTCCAGCAATGTGAGCAAGCTTTTGTTCCCCGTATTGGCAGCATTTCCCCGTCGTTTGTCCCCCTGCCTGTCTGCAGGTCTCGGAGCGGCTCTGCTGTCGGAGATTGCAGGGAGTTGGTGGATTGGAGCCATGAAGCTTCTTTTATGAGCCAAGTGCAGAGAAAGGAGCTTTTCATACGCTCCAGCCTGCAGTCAGGTACTCCCTGGTGGGCTCCTCACAAAGCCTAGGCCCTGGAGCTCTTCCCTGGAGTTTGCATTTGTTTCCTTATAGGGCACATTCCTGGCGATGGGTAGGAGGAAATGGCAGCCCAAATAAGAGGCAGCCCTCTGCAGCCACTCTGGGCTGGTTCCCTGCTCAGCCCATAGAAGTCACTGGTTTGACCCATTCCTCCCTAAAGCCAGTCTGAGTTCTTTATTAGTGAGCATGAAAAATGCTTCAATCATAGCACCAGATGGTACCCAAACCAATTTGGATTGTCAGCTGAGGCCTACTCATTTCCAAGGACTTGGTCTAACATCAGTGTTATTTCCCTCAGTGCCCATCCAGCCCTAAGAGATGATCTTGCTCAGATGATTTTGATGAGAAATAATATTTTACTCTACACAGGACCACAGTCATTACTTCTTTCCGTCTTTATTAATTCATTCAACAAGCTTTTATTGAGTGCCTGCTGTGTGCACTAAGCATTTTAGGGCATACCAAAGAGAAATTTATTTCTGTTCAATAGATATTTGCTGAGAATCTATTATGTATGTGGCAAGCATTACACTAGATAATGGACATATTAAGTCACTAAGAACAGGTACTCATAGATGTAGAGAGATGAAGCGTGCAGTTACACAACAGGTACTGGGAAAGGCAAGTAACCCAATGTCCTGCATTACCCTCTTTCAATTTTGCTACTTGGACTATAAACAAAATTTAAGTTGGTACTCTATTCTCTCAAGCTTCAGGAAAAGAATTTGCCAATAACATTAATATACCACTTAGGCAGGAAGGATGCAAGAGAGAGTCACTGATTCGGTTCTCTTCTACCTTACCACTCAGAGTGGTCCATGCACTATCAATGATGGCATCTCCTGGGAGCTTGTTAGAAATTCAGGTCCCACTCCAGACCTGATGGATTAGAATCTGTAGTTTTAATGAGATCCACAGGTGATTTATCTGCCCGGGGAAGTACTGCTCTGCTAGTTATTTGTGTCTGAGGTATTCCAACAATGATGGTGAGCTCAGTGAAAGATCACCACATTTATTTTTTCAGTGAATATTTATTGAGACCAACAACTCAGTATCTGCTAGTTACATAATCTCTTTATTTTTTAAGAAAAGTGCAGGCCATTCCTTACACATGAGTCACTGAGTTTTGGACTTCGTCACCTTGACATGATTGCCACTGTTGATTGGACAGAGATCCAGATTTAAACCAAAAACAGCCATTGATGAGCCAGTGACCTTCACAGTATTCTGACCAGAAAACTCTCTGAAGCACGGTTGCATTGTATTGCATAAGTAACTTAGTCAGAGGCATTTTCCTAGGGAATTCAAAAACTCGATAGGATTGATGTTCACCGTAGGTAAAGTTAGAGAAACTTAAAAAGAAGCAAGCAGGAACCATCAGGTTGAGAGTACACAGAGAATAGGAGAAAAATGTCCAGGTCCATATCACTGTTGTGTGTGTGTGTGTGTGTGACCGAGTCTCACTCTATTGCCCAGGCTGGAGTGCAGTGGCATGATCTTGGGTCACTGCAACCTCTGCCTCATGGGTTCAAGTGATTCTTGTGCTGCAGCCTCCCGAGTAGCTGGGATTACAGGCGCCTGCCACCATACCCGGCTAATTTTCGTATTTTTAGTAGAGACGGGCTTTCACCATGTTGGCCAGGATGGTCTGGAGCTCCTGACCTTAGGTGATCTGCCCACCTCAGCCTCCCGAAGTCCTGGGATTATAGGCATGAGCCACTGTGCCAGGCAAGTATAAGCATTTTTTTTTTTTTTTTTTTTTTTTTTTTTTTTTTTGAGACGGAGTCTCACTCTGTCGCCAGGCTGGAGTGCATGGTCGGATCTCAGCTCACTGCAAGTCCGCTCCGGTTTACGTCATTCTCCTGCTCAGCTCCGAGTAGCTGGACTACAGGCGCCGCCACCTCGCCCGGCTAGTTTTTTGTATTTTTTAGTAGAGACGGGGTTTCACCGGATTAGCCAGGATGATCTCGATCTCCTGACCTTGTGATCCGCCCGTCTCGGCCTCCCAAAGTGCTGGGATTACAGGCTTGAGCCACCGCGCCCGGCCTAAGTATAAGCATTTTTAAGGGTTCACTTAGAAAAGCACTGAGAACTTCATGTACATGTCACCATTAGTCCTCAGAGCACCACTGAAAGGCAAATGTTCCAAATGGATGTTTTCAGTGGGCGATGTAGACTCAGAAAAGAGAAGTAATTTGCCTGTGATCTCTCAACTGTAGAAACATCAGAATTTGAACCCAGCTCTAACACGTTTGAAAGCCCAGACATGCATTTTTTCATGTTATCTTCCTTCAGCCTATTGCCTGTGTTGTTTTGTTGTTGTTGTTGTTTTTCCAGTCCTTTTCATGAGTGTTCTGGGGCCACTCAGATTCCAGGGCAAAATTATGGGCACAATTTGCTCTCCAGAGTGACATAAAGGAAGTGGTTCAGTGCCCTTGGAAGGTTCAGGAGAGCTGCTTCTGCACCCACCACCATAGGAAGGTGCTGGGGGAACTATGAGATGAATCCTGGCTTTCTTCCTTCCTTTAAAGAGCTTATAATCTTTTTGATGAAAAGAAGTCTGAAGTATTTTTTTAAAAAATGATTATGTAAGTTAGTGTGTATGAGGACAGAAACTTAAGGCAGGTGGCAGAATTTTAGTGAGGCCTTAGAAAGACTTGAGATACATGAAGAGGAGGGGCCATGCCAGTCTGGGGCTACAGTGCAAGCAAAGGCAGGAAAGAATTTGTTGCAGTATGAGATGGAAAAGTAAATCATCTGCTCCCATTTCTCAAGCATCTACTTCAGGCTCAGTGAATGCATGCTATATGAAGAATATATGTGTGCTATGTGAAGAATATGTGCATGGTATGTGAAGAGTATATGCATGCTATACGAAGAATATACACATGCTATGTGAAGAATATACACATGCTATATGAAGAATATACACAGGCTATATGAATATATGCATAGTATGTGAAGAATATATGCATGCTATATGAAGAATATACATATGCTATATGAAGAATATAAGCATGCTATGTGAAGAAAATACATATGCTATGTGAAGAATATATGCATGCTATGTGAAGAATATATGCGTGCTATGTGAAGAATATACACATGCTATGTGAAGAATATATGCATGTTATGTGAAGAATATAGGCATGCTATATGAAGAATATATGCATGCTGTGTGAAGAATATACACATACTATATGAAGAATATACACAGGCTTTATGAAGAATATACAAATTCTATAGGAAGAATATATGCATGCTATGTGAAGAATATATACGTGCTATATGAAGAATATACACATGCTATATGAAGAATATACGCATGCTATGTGAAGAATATACACAGGCTATATGAAGAGTATACACTTGCTATATGAAGAACATATGTATGCTATGTGAAGAATATACACATGCTATATGAATATATGCATACTATATGAAGAATATATACATGCTATGTGAAGAATATACACATGCTTCATGAAGAATATATGCATGCTATATGAAGAATGTACTCATGCTATGTGAAGTATATACACATTCTATATGAAGAATATATGCATGGTATGTGAAGAATATACATGTGCTATGTGAAGAATATATGCATGCTGTGTGAATAATGTATGCATGGTATGTGAAGAATATACATATGTTATATAAAGAATCTGTAAGTCCAGTCGGTGACTGGAGAGAGACTGTTATGGGTCAGAGTGAGACTTGTGAAGAACCTGAATCATGATAGAAAAACAAGAATCATTGGGTTGATAGTTGTGGACTGGCAGGAGATGTATGTGAGTCAGAAGGAGTGCCCCAAATTGTGTCTACACTCAGAAGAGTGGGTGGACTAGGAAGTAGGTTGATGAAAGTCATCTCCCTTTTCACCACTCTTAGGAAGGGGAGGGGTCTCGTGGTTAATCACTTCATAGGTTTATTCTTGGAGAAGATGGGGGTTCTACCACGTGAAATGTGTCAGAATCTGTAATTATATGTGCCAAAGACTATTTGTGCTCAACAAATACCCATTGCTCCCTATGTTTCTTAGTTTTGCCAGAAGCTAGGAGGTGCTAGAGTTTTGTCCAATGGGCTGCAGTCAGAAGTGATGTAACTCTCTTCTGAGCCTGGCCCATAAAGCATCCCATTCATCCTTCAACCCTTTTGTGCCCTTCATTAATAATTTGGAGGCCACATGTTCCAGCTAGTGTAGCTGTGGAATGGAGGGCTGCCTCTTGAGCATTGGGTTTGAAATATTCATGCTGAGCTGCTGAAAGTTTGGAATTTGGTGGTTGTCACAAAAAATTCCAGCCTTCTCTGATACAGATGTATTTTTGTGTTTATGATTGCCTAACACATAGTAGATGCTCATAAATATTTGCTCAGTGAACAAATAAATCATTATATCAGTTACCAAGACTGGTATGATTATTTTTTCATCTTAATTCTCTGCTCTTTGAGAGCCTAGTGTGTGTTGGATTCTTTCCCCTTCAAAGGTCTTGATGTCATTATTTTCCAGGCATTACCTGAATGTTTGAGAGAAGTTTGGGGAGAGTGGAAGGTGCAAGAGTGATTTTCCCCTGCCCTTGCCCCTACGAGGGATCATCCCGGAGACCTTCATCTGCTGGGAAAAACCCTGCTAAAGGAACCAGATCGGTCGACCAAAAGAAGGGCTTGCCCATTTAAAGACTGAAAA